GTTCTTAACTTATGTTAACCTATTAGCAAGACCACAGCCCATCTAAGGAGGGCTCAGTTTACGTACGTACCCTTGACCTATTGGCCTGTACACTTGAATGGGAGGGGATGTATCTCTCAACCCGGACGGAGTCGCCTTGGCCGGAAGAACCCCGACGCCGAAGACGCCGAAGCCGCCGGTCCCGCTCCACCCCGGAAGACCTTCGTCGCACGGAGACGAGCGGATCGTCTCGTGCGAGCGCGTCGGGTCTTTATGGTTTTTGCCCAGCGGTAGTGAAGCACAATACTCACCGGAAAAGGAGGTTCTTCCCCCAGGCTGAGCTGCGATTTCATGCGCTGTCAAAGTCCCCACGACCTCTCTTCATCACTGGGCTGGGTCCTCCTGGTTTCTATAGGCTGCTCCCAGCGACTTGGGTGACGCTCGTTTTCAGCTCGTTCTTCCGGAAAGCCGTCTGACTGTCGCACTCGAAGCGCATTCGACCAGAGGCCTGGAGTCTTTGCCACAGCTCTCGTGCTTGACCCAACTTCGGGTGCACAGCCTCAGACGTTTCCTCCAAAATTCGGCGGCGCAGACGGGAGAGGGCGAGGACGGTTTGGACGCTGCGTGTTACACTGGATACCCGACTCTTGGCACGAACACGGAATGGACAAGCCCAAATGAAACATGGAGTTGTACAGTTTTTTTCTCGGAAAGGGGTGTGTGCAGGGTAATTACCCATATTCTAGATGACCAAAGATCTTCCATAGCCTCATGTTGTTTCAACCTGTGCACTCAGTCCATGGACATCCTATGAATGATGAGCTTTTCAGGTACTCTTGGCGGACGAAAAGGGCCAAGGCATTCTGAATTGCACTTTTTCATGTTGGAGACCCAGCCCATCCCAGCCCCAATGGGTGTGTGTGTGTCTATTATAAGACTATCCATAGGACTGGAACAGTTACATATATTTACAATATATACTATACATTACCATGCTGTAATATACCCCATTTAGTATCCCATTTATATCCATTTACGACCCTCATGTACAGTATAGGCTGTATAGGTAACTATTCCATATCATAGACGCTTTCGGATTGTCAACGTCTTCTGACCTCCTCGCCCGCTTTTTCGCAGCAACGAGGCCTTAGTCTTAAGTGGAAACAAGATCCATGGAAGCCTGGCCCAAAGCTCAGTCGATCAAGCCGACCTTCAAGCATCGCCGAGCGAATGAAGATGTGATTTCAGGCTGATCACAGTGTGTCACAGGAAATCGACAGTGAACCTGCTATACCTCTTTCCGAAGATTGTTGTTGGTTTGGAACCTTTTTTGGTTCATCTCATGGTCTATTTTGCCAATAGAAGCGGAGACTTCAACAAGAAAAGGTACCTATACATCAATCCAAGAGTGTGAAAAACATGTGGATTGTGCCCATCTATTGCCATTGAATGCTTCTATAGAACCTGGCCCAGTATTCATCAGCTTGGCTCAGTCTCCCAGGAAGCTCTCGAACATTGTCCACACTTGGAGGCATGGAGGGGTGGAGCCATGTGCCATCGCGCCATCCATCCATCCATCCATCCATCCCTTTGGAATGCCTGTTTTGCCGCTGAAAGAGGGGTGCCTGAAGGTACAGAGCGGTTTTCAGCTCGGACCAACCACATGACACGTGTGACCTTGCCACAGATTGGCACAGTCGCCGAGATAGTCACCTCCCAATTTCGTGTCGCCTGCGGACCCGAACGACTCAGCTTCCGATCGAAATTAATGGTCTATTGATGTGTCTTTCGCCAGCGGGTACTGGGACCAGCTCAGCATGAAATCCTGGCACGAGCTGCTTTGCCCTGCAGAGTCCAAGACTACAGAATGGTCTCTAGGGAACCTGAAAGGAGCTTCCTGTACTGCAGCTGGGCAAAGTATAGTCTTTGGACAGTTCTTTGGACATTTAGGGGACATGTTTTGCATTGTTTTGCCATTTTCCAGCAAATTATAGTTCGAAGTCAATGGCACTATCACAATCAGGATCACCTTCTCGATCAATATAGACCTTTGACCTAGTGACATTTTCTGAGAGCTCGATAAGTGACCAGTGACAGCCATATGTTAATTTGACCTGTTATTGCAAAGAGACCAGGAATCCGCTTTCCAGTACTTCATCGATTCATCTGATGCGCCACGCTGATCCACGCCACTCGCTTCTTCGCAGGAGCTGGATCTCTGCCAGAACAGCCTGACCTCGCTGGACGGGTGCGGTCTCCGGGATGTTTTCGTTAGGGAGGCGCTCTGGGTCTTTTTCTTCGTGGGCGATGCATCAATCCCAGACACTCGGGACTGGCATTTTTATCATATACCTACCTGGAGTCGCAGTTCGTACCTCGGAAAATGGGTACAGTCGTACCTGTTTCTATATGGGGTCATGTCCCATTTGATCATGTTTCTGTGGGGTCATGTTTCTATGGGATACCGAGTCAACCACCCCAGATCAGGAGTCATCCCATTCCCAGGTCGTGCCTGGATTTGGTCGGAAGATATCTGACCTAGAGCCATGTTTGAATGGATCAGGCACTGGGAAGGGGAGAGGAGACCGACAGGTCTCTTCCATCTTCACTTCGCTCACCTGACTCCTTACTGACTGCATGGAAGCGAAGCCATGCATGTTCACTCCAAAAAGCTTCGGCAAAAAGGGGGGTGTCCGATCCACTCGGGCCTTTTCCACTCTCCCAAACGCCAGCCGAAACATGCCAGTGGGGATCTTGGACGCCACGCCGCGAGGGACCAGTGGTGATACTGCCCTATCTATCACTTCCAGTCGTAACGAACCGAAGCGGTTCGGTATGACTGGACCCCGAACATGGCACCCCACCCCGGGCCCCAGTCCCAAAGCTCAGGTTCGGTACCGGGTCATTCGACCAGACACTCCACTCGTTGGGGGGGCGAGATGGACCGGCACCGACCCCGGGTCTCGGTCCACACGCGACCCGCGGTACTGGAACCGAGGTGGGCAACCCCCGATATCCTCGGGGTCACCGGGGTGTTTGGACCCGAAGAAGCATCGAAGAAGCCCAAATCCCTGTTTTGGAGGGACTGGATGGAGCAGTCGGCCTGGAAGACCAAAGGGACACATGTGTGCCATGCCGACCGGGCGAAGACCCGCCCCCGCCACGTTGCTCCCCAAAAAACGTTTAAAGGTGATCCGCTGACTGGGTATGGAAGCCATGTTTGATTGGCTTGAAGATCTGTCGTTGCATCAAAAACACATCCTCGCAACTTCTTCACGTTTCAAGGATTTCCCATTTCCCTAGGCCTCCAAGTACCTTCTGAGAAGGTGTTTGGGGTGGGTGCCAGGAGGGTCCAAATACCTTCTGAGGAAGTACTTGGAGGTGTAGGGATTTGTGTCTGGATTGAACAAATCCCTCACACAGTTCCACAAACCGATCGTCGAAGCCTGTAGATTTTTTTCCTGAATACAAGCATGGCAGCATGGCCCATGAAAAAAAACAACGAAACCAAGGTAGTTAATCCCTTTCATAACTAAAACACCTTCAGAACTCTAGGAGAAAACTATATACTATAGTTGGTGGAGAGGCAAGTTTCTCCAAAACATCCCGATGCTCAGGTTGCGGTACTTGAAGTACTTGTCAGCATGGAAGACCCAGCGGGCGGGCGTGTTTCCGGCGTCTCTGGCCTTGCCCGTCTCGTATGCCCAGGGAGTGCCCAAGTGGAAGAAGTGTGGGGAGAAGACCGGAAGCTTTTTCGAGGTTTAGGAGAACATGATAACATGTTCTTGTCCTACCCAGATCCAGCCAGTCAGTGGATAACCCTAACAACAACTTGGGGGATATCCATGCATTTCCTGACCGTATGAAGAAGTGGATGGAGTTCGTAGCACGGAGACCTCTTAGGAGTGAGACTTCTGACGCTTTCGTGCGAAGGATCGGGGGGGTTTGATGCAGACGAGGTCTGGGGCAGACCAGCTCTGCCATGCCAGTCGTTGGAAGCCTCCGAGTATCGTACCAAATCCAAGTGCTCTGCCGATCTACACTGCTTGGACATCATCATGGGCCACCGTGGATGGCATGGCCTGAGGATTGGATGATTGGAGGACGACATTTGGAAGACCCAACAGGTGGTTTTCACGAACTACTTGTGAACTACCCTATAGGGCTCCAGTCGTATACCTCCTGAGAAGGTATGACTGACCATATTTGGACCCTCTAAACCCACCTTAGAAGGTACTTGGAGCCCTAGGGCTACTTATTTGGAGAGTACAGCCAGGCATTCTGAAATCATTCGAGCTGGACGGTAACTAGCGCTGGAATGTGACCTGTACGACGACTAATATTATGTTGTCTCTCAAAATCAGGGATCAGAATCAGCCAAATTCTTTTGCGGCCATCAACCAGTCCCCCACTTTCCAACAGCCAAAGTATCTCCGATCCAAACGCCCTGCGGATCGCTCTGACCTCTTCGATGCTCCCGCCACCCTTCCAATGGATGGCCACCCACCACCGTCTTCGATCACCGAGCGACGTGAACGGCTGAGGTGCTCAAGGCCACCATGAACGAGATCTCAGATGCTGAGGAGTCGGAAGATGCGCCTTGAAGAACGTCGAAGCTGTCGAGTTGGTTCCCTGTTTCACCTGGTCGAGTTGCACCGCGTGTTTCCACGGTTTTTTTCCAGTTTTTTCCACGTCGGTTCCTTGAATCCTTAAACATCTGGGGGAGAACTGCTTTTGGTGTCCGGTGGTGATAGCGCCGTGCCAAAACAGAGATGGGCACCAGGTGATGGTATGGTTCTATAAGGCCAGAGATACTCTGATGAGTACATGCTAGAAACATGGAGGTTTTCCACCCCCCATGTTAGTGAGTCAAAGTGTACTGTATAGAGGTATACCATACCTGAGACGTGTAAAATGACTACGCTTGCCGAATGGCCATTGGAATTTAGAAAATGAATGAACATGATGAAATTCAGCGGGTTCACCCCGAAAATCCTTTGATTTGTGGTACTCTAGACTGAGTAGATGAGAAATATGTGGTAAAGGCTCCCAACAGGCCCAATTCTGCCCAAGGTCTATTATAGCACCCAGGACTGGTTATATAATGTTATATAGTACTGGCGAACTTGGAAATTTGGAGGTACATATATAGATTTTATATATGACATAGATACATGATATAATTGTTTTCTTTGTTGAACATGTTCAATTAGACTGTAACTCCCCAAATGTTTGCGAAGGCATCGAAGGCCCTTTAGCGTAGGCTCTTGGTTATCACACAGGCGAAGCCAGTGGTCACCTTGTTCTGGGAACACATCGGGAAACCCTCCCGCCAGCCAGAAAAGCTGTTGTTGATGAGAGTGTTCAGCCAGTTGAACGCGGCTTTGTCTTCAGCCAGTTTTGCCAGAATCTACTCGGATGGGCCATGAAGTCTTGGGGATAAACGTATGTAACGATTCCAGTCCCATTCGTTTGACCCATTGACCCCAGCTTTTCCAGGACTTGGCGCAGCTGCCGAATCTCCGCGCGACTCGGAGAAAACAGCAAAACCCACTGACTGACCGCTGAGCTAAGCTCGCTGGCGTTTTATTTTTATTCGGATGGGAGCGGAGGAGACAGTGTCGAGAGGCGTGTATGAAATTTGAAGAGGGAGACCTCCCAGCAATGGATTGAGTCTTGTTCTGATTTTCCCACAGGTCTTTTGGGGATTAGTTGAGAAGACACGGAAAAGAAGAGCACCCTGCATGGTGCATATATATATATATATGTGTATTCCAGACACTAGTCCAGACACTCCATGGGACTGGTACATATGCCTACATTGACCCCTGAAATCAACCCCCCCAATGTATGGATTGCCAGTCCCATGGAGTGTCCGGGTATTCTGCAGCGCACTACCTTCATGAATCTTGTTTCCTGATGTGGGTACGTGTGGCGAGAAGTCCCAAAAGAGAGGCTGTGCTGGTGTTGTTCAAGTCGTCCTGGCGATTGACTTTGGCTCAATATGTTTCAATAGAATTTGTCTTAGTCTGCTACTGAGGCTGTATTAGCCTTAGAAACTGCATTGGGCAGGTGAGGTAAGTGCAGGTGGCAGTCTGGGTGTTTGGCATGTGACTCTACAAGTGCCTTAGATACCACCTCCACAAGGAGGCAGCTCAGGCCAAGAAGCAGGCATTCCTCAGCCAAGCACTAGGGTTGTGATATTTTAGTTTCTTTGTTTGTTGGTGTTTTGTTGTGCTGCTGCTGCTGCTGCGTGCTTGCCTGGGAAGGGAGGGGGAGTGCAGGTGGACAGGGTTCAGAAGGAACTAAAGCACCAATATTGTTCAGACACTATAAAGTTAGGACTATAAAGTTAGGACGACAAAACAAATTAGCATAAGAGGGCCCTCATAACCAACCTGGGGGTCAGAACTATTTTTGAAAGCTTTAGCATTATAGAGGGCGTGGTTTCTAGTCAGGGTCCAACATTACTCATGACTCATTGGCGTAGTGCATGCCTATTCCGCCCCCCCAAAGTGGGCCCAGACCCCCTGCCATGGAGGAGGGTCCTTTCGGGTTCTTAGGATGCCATGACCTCTTTGGATTCCCTGTTGATGACCTTTGCCATGCCATGACCCTCAAACCAGTTATCCAAAAATCGCTTTGAAGTTGAAGAACCAGGTGTGTATCATGTGGTCGTGTGGTGGTCGTGTGGCGAAGATTCATTGATCCTCAGATGCCTTAGATCTGATATCACCTGAAGATCCCAGACGACTCGCCATGGAACTGGACTCGCCACGCACTGGATGATTGTAAGTCCATGCTGTATAACATGGGAGTGCGGGTCTTTGACTTGAGAATCAGTTGATATTTTTTAAATGTGCACGTGTATGTTTTTTGGGGATTGACGACCGGGCCACGAATTCGTCACCCTTTTCTCGCCGGGGGGACGGTTCCAAGATGCTCTACATGTCGGGACCCATGTTCCTCCACTCGCGGGTCGCGTCTCGCGCCGAGTCCGGGGACGGTTCGTCCGGCGGAGGGTCTAAGGTCACCGCTGTCAGCCTCCTCCAGTGTTTCAGCAACACACCTAGGGCATCTGCAGCCCTTCCTGGTTGAGATCAGCGGGGTTGGTCAAGAAAAACACATTCACACCTGGGTCATCGTGTCATATCGTGTCCAATAGACTACTTGGGCGCCCATGGGCGCGGACCGACTGGACCGACAGGACACCCAGACAGGATGATCCTGGCAAATGTTCACCAACTAAAAGTGTGACGGGGAACCTTTGGTCTAGACGGTCTAGCCCTATGTTTCCACTGCTACCTTCCTTTCGGTACGGTGATGTGTTGTCTCCCCCATGTCATACCTTGTCAGGTTCGGTATGACTGGAACCTCCTGGCACCTGGGCCCCATGTCGTCCCACCGAACCGAACTGAAGGGAGCCCCCAAACGCAAGTTCTCAGGCGGCGACCCTCCGTTCAGGAACGAGGGCAGTACTTCCCCGAGACACCTCGGGTTCTTCGGGGTGGACCTTCTCACCAATCCCGGTTTGGAAGGACCCGGAGGGACCGGGAGTCGGGTGGTCGAGATTCTCGACTGGGAACCAAGGACCCCTCCTCAGGTTCGGTACTTAGACCCGAACATGGCACCCACCCCAAGTCCCACCGAACCTCAGCAGGTACGACTGGAGGCCTAGCAGGATCGAGACTCTCGGTCCGTCGTTCAGGTCGTGGACCTGAGCAAGAATCGGCTCACTGCGGCTCCTCGGCGGGTTATGTGGCGTAGCAGGACGGGTAGCAGGACGTCCCATGTATGTCCCGGGGGCACCCCGGTGTTTGGGTATGATTTTGGAACATATGTTTGCCCATATACCCTAGGGCTCCAACCATCTCCTCAGGAGGTGGTTAGACCCCCCCTGGCACCCGGACTGGCCTAGTAGTAACTACACGGTGTTGGTTGGAGGGGTCAATGTAGGTATATATTCCAGTCCCCCTAGGCCTCCAAGTACCTTTCTTGAAGGCATTTGGGGTGGGTGCCAGGAGGGTCCAGTCATACCGAACCTGAGGAGGTACCTGGAGGTGTAGGGTCTCATGAATGGTCTTGGATGGTGACCTATGAGCTTTACAGTTGCAATGCTACTCTTCAGTGAGTCAATGTGGTGCAGATGTATACAAGTTACATCATGTTACCATCACTATATATCACTACCCCTTGGGGATGCCTGACCCCCCAAAGGGGTCAAATTTGTAACTTACAATTTTTGATCTTGCGATGATAGCATTATATAGCCCTATAGGGGGGTGAAAATTGTTAGATCTAAGGTTGAGGTAGTATATGAAGATCTTACTTTTTAAACCCCCTCTCAAAAAGGTCTTGGCCTACTTCTTGAGACTTTGAAAGCAGGGGGCGGGGGGGATCAAAATTGTAAGAATGGATGGGCAGGTACCCCACAGAGCAAATTACAATTTCACCCCCCTGTTTCGGCGTTGCTTTTTAATTGCTTTGCTTTTGTGACTTCGAATCAGGTCAGATGGGACATTGTAAGTTTTAATTTTGAGGGTCAGGGGGCATGCATCCAACTGACCCTCATACATGTAATTAATTTTTGAGAGCATACAGGCTCAACAAACACACATGAGGGTCAAAATGTAACTTACAATTTTGACCGCTGTCTTGTCAGATGGAGGTATTTTAGACCTGTATGTTCAAAAATCCACCCAAAATTGTAAGTTACATTTTTGACCCCTCCCCCGCGGGGTGAGGTAGTAGTGATATGTTACCACTTTTCTGGGCTGCAGTATCTCCAAACATTTACTATATAAGTCGATTCTGTTTGCGGCCAACAATAGGGCGGCGTGACTGCCAATGAAAGGCGTGACTTAGTTCTTGTCCTTGACTGTCAGGTGCCCTTGACGGCACCAGTCCTCGCAAAGTCTGGCACCCAGCACCGGGTTTTGCTGATTCACTGGCCACGGATTGAGTCGTTGCCCCGACGCGACCCCGAAGAGAGCCCGAATCCTCTGGGAAATCCAAAGAAGTAACCTGAGTTCAAGTTCCGGACCTTCATTGGACAGTCGGACAGCCCTTCTTTGATATGAATATACCTGGACCCTGCAAAGTAGCTTAGAAAATGGGACATGACCCCATAGAAACAGGTACTTGTACCCATTTTCCAAGGTACTTTGAGACTCAAGGTAGATTATGCCTCGGGATGTCTTTTGTGCTGGGTGTTGTTGAGGAACGGTTTCAACCTTTGCACATTTAAAATCCAGATTCAACGTCCCAGGCCGCCAAAAGTCAGGGATATGGACTGGAAAGCCTGGCAACTTTCTATGCCACATGGTCGTTTTGGGTTCAGGTGCAGCTGCTCCTGAGCAGCTGCACTGCTCTATTTCAACATCTTCGGGGGTGGTCGAACCAACAGATGTGCGTGTGTTCCTGCGCGCTTCGAAGACGACGCGCGCGCGAAGGCACGAGCTCGTGACAGGTTCAGAAGACGAAGCGACTGACTGGTCGAAGGTCATGTCTTAGAGGTATTTGAACAGTCCTTTTTCTGAATGGCAATGTAGGTTGGTTTCGACTATGGGTTATTGGGTTCTATTCCACCTATAGTCCCTACCCCTATAAGAATCTTTGGGCTCTCCATGGCAGGGGTCGGACCTTCCATAGCACGGGTCCGGGCCCGAACCAAACCCTGTATCTGTTGCTGAGGGCCCGGATTCTTAGGGCATAATACAACATGATTTCGGGCCTTGCAAGATCGTCCGGAGCGTGTCGAAAGTCGATTCAGGCTGATCCTCTATCGAAATCTGCTGGATTCCACGGGCTTCTTGCGGGCATTGTCTCCGCCTCAGTTTTTCACATGTGGACAGCGCTGTCCAAACTTGGTCGTTCCCACCCCGACAGGGGTTGGGCAGAGTGGATGGATGGTCACAGATGGAGTACCCCCCAAATGGGATGAATATGGCTGAAGTGATCCATCCCCAAACTCCGATGTTCACCACCCACTCTTTCTGCTCTTTGAGTACTTGATTCTATGCTCTCCAACCTCGCTGTTGCTTTTGTAATCCCCCGGCCCCCCGGGAAGATTATTTCTGAAGATCCTGATAATGATTTCGGTTTGATTCTCTTACCACGTTTAAGTCGCGATTCTCAAATGAGTTTGTGCTGCATAATGTGATAAGTAGACTACGGTTCAAAACAAATCATTAGCACCCAGGGGTCACAAGTCGGGGTGGTGTTTGGTCCCAGCCAGTGAGTGGAGTAGCTGGGCACCCCGACGACCTCCAATGTTTTGTTTTTCAACTCTGAACAGAGTTGCTCGTCTCGGGTCTCTACAGCCCGAAGAACGGGGGCCTGACCACCGAAGGATGCACCGAAGGATGCACCGGGTGCTGACTGCCAGCACCCAGTTTGGGTGGCTATTTGACCCGCAGGCCCTATGACCATGTATTTACCATCCGAACTGAGTGATGCTGATTGCAGAACAAAAAACGACTATAGACTATAATATAAAACGGTGGGCGTGGTTTTAACCCGGGCTTGCCCTTCTTGCAATGACGGAGTGTTCAGGCAAAGTGCAGGAACATGTAGCCTTCAGTGTGTCCCGTTGGTCTTCGTTCTGAGTGCTCAAACAGAATGCAGGACTATTACAAACAAGCATACGTGGACATTGCAATGCGTATATACAGGTTTCTTCCTTGTTTCTTCCTGTTTCCTTGCTACTTCCCTAAGGATTCGCACCCGAAACCAAACAAGGCTTTCCTTCGGCGCCCCAGGGCGAACCTTCGAGGCTTTGACCCTCTTCGTTTGGGAGGGTCCGGACTCGGATGCTACTGACCACGAGGCGGTGGAACGGCCCAGGCCGAGCCTCATCCAATTGGATTTGGGCCGCAACAAGCTGACCGAGCTGGATCAAATCTCAGAGTGCTGGTGCCCAGTGTGAGATTTCTGAGTTCAACGCACGAGGAAGGGGTGCTGACATGCCAGAGCGGAACCTGGAACACTTCAGGTCAATCTCCCAGACACAGTCCTAGAGGAATCTAGATGATTGTAAAGTAAAGTCAACATTTTTCTGGACATGCAGAGGCATGAAACGTCTGGCTGCTGAATCGTGAAATGCTGAATTCCCCATTTGACTTGACCTGATACGAGGATGTTGGAAACCTGAACCAGCACCACCCAGTTCGGGATGTTCGGGTGTTTTGTAGTTGGACCTTTGATCAATTGTTTACCATCCAATAATCCCTAGGGCTCCTGGCCCATATCCTCAGGTTCGGTGGTTAGACCCCCCTGGCACCCACCCCAACCATCGAACCTCAGGAGGTGGGCCAGGAGCCCTAGGGAATAAAGAATCCGAACTCGGTGGTTCTGGAAGACTGACACTGGTGCTCATGCGAGGCTCCATCGGCTTGGCAATATATGTGACTCCCGATTAGGACTGGGGCAAAATGTCCAGTCCTATGAAGCGGCAAGTACTGTATTTCTTGCCCTGTCGCGCTCCAGTTGTACCGAACCTCAGCGGTTCGGTATCACAGGACCCGAACATGGCCCCGACCCCAGTCCCACCTTCACCGAAGCGGTTTGGTACGAAAACGGAGGCCTAAGGTTGATGCAATCTTCGCAAAAACATGGACAGTTCCCAGGCAGATCAGATCGATCTCGCGGGTCCAGAGGACTGGACGATCGATCTTGGACTGCTGTTCAAGCGAACACTGCGACGAAGAGACGAAGGTTAGTTTCCACCCTAAGAATCCTTGGACCCTCCATGGCAGGGGTCCGGGCCCTCAAAACCCGATGTGTTTGAGGGCCCGCAGTCCTATAGGGCACTAAAGCTGAGGGGGGTCCGTCATGCTACTGCCAGCCCCCGTGCCGATTGAGGTGGAATCCGTTGCTCACGAAGATCTTTCTGTACGAGAACCGCTTGGCACGCCAGCCAGACGGCATCCATCAATCCATTAGCCAATAGCCATTAGGCACATCAGGTGGCATCAGGTGGCATCAGGTTCTGTCCTGAAAACTGGCTTTGGCATTCCGATAGAAGACCACAGGAGTGTCCTTTCATGGGTATTGAAATTGTGTGACTCCTACGAGTCCAGTGAACAACCCAGTAAAAGCTCACCTGGTCCTGAAAACCTCAGTATTTAGCACTGGTGCTCTTCTATGACCATCTCCAGTCAAATGAGATCCAACTGACCATCTCCAGGTCAATCAGTTGGGGGTGGTGGAGGGGTCAAGGAACGAGTTTGGGTCTTCTCCCTATGGAGCTTTTGGGTCTTGATTCCCCGAAATGAGTTATTCCACCATATTCCACCAGTCCATTCCAGGCCCACAGCTCGCAGTCTTCAAGCCAGTCTGCCTTAACAGGATCCTTATAAGATATTGTGTTGACCTTGTCTATTTTTTGGGGGGGGAGGTCGACTCGACTAGTTGCGTGCTCACGGTCACATGCAGAGCCTCAGATGTCCTTTGTTTCTCCAATGTGAATGTGTTGTGGTTTTTGGGGGCTGGGTTTCTTCTACTCTTTTTGGTAGACCAGGTCTGCAAGGAGATTCGAAGACTTCTGAACCGGAGGTCGCGACCAGGCTCTCTACTCAAGAACTGTTTGATCTGAAGTCGATTGTGGGAGCAGAACGGATTGTTTGAAGTAATGTATACTAAACACAACAGTTATATAATATAATCAAACCAATCTGGCTTTCTTCGTCACTCTAGATCATGAGAACCATGTGCTTTGAAAACGCTTGGGACTTCTTCTTCTTCTTCACTGTGGAACTCCGGCTGACATCATCGTTCGGTGTCTCGGTCCTGAACCACCCGAACCCGCGGTGCTCTCGGGTCCTTCCCTCCGTGCCTTCATTCAGCCGCCGGTGGCGTCGAGGCCTCGCTTCCGGAGCTTCATTTACCTTTACTCACCGATCTCTGGGCGGGGCATCGAACCGATCCGCCGACCGATCGGTGGTGGCGGAAAGGCGGAAAGTGCCTGGGAAACCGATGGGTGGAGGTGGTACGGTGGTATACGGTGAGTGCACGGCTATAGATGGTTCCCAGAACGGTGGAGGGGACGGTGTCCGTTCTGTCTTTCTTTGTTCAGCCTCTTTCAGCTCGGGTGGAGCATATCTTGATCACTGCGTGGTATATTTGTGTAGATTGGGGTGGTTGGTGTCAAAACTAAGTAAGTATGAGTATGACTGTATCATACATGCCCAGACACTCCATAACGTTTGGACATATATTCCTACCTTGACCGCCGGTCAACCCGCCCATGGGCCGGCCCTTTCTCGGCAGTCATATGGAAGTGCCCCCCCATCCCGGGTCGTGTGAGGGATGCAGTGTTTGGGTGTTTGAAACGACGTTAAAGCGACCACTCCGCAGACTCTGCAGGATAGGTGATAGGTTGTGTTGATCCCAGGATCCCTGCGTGACATGTGGGGGGCGCCTTGGAACAGACGGCCATGGTTGTGGGTCCTTCAGCCGGAGGCAGACCACCGACACCAGGGAGGTCAACCGGGCTGCGGGGAGGTCAACACCAAGACGGCCGAACCGGTGAAAGACCTGCGGAACCCTCGCACGGTGCCAGGCTCATTTCGGTCATATGAGACCAAGAAAGCTGCAGATCTTTCAATGAAGTTCCGATTGTTCTCTAGGACTGGCGGCCTTTGATAAAATCTGAGATCAACACCCGACCTTCCGCATCCTCACCCGACGAGTCAAGCACAGCACATGGCTGAAAAGCAACCGGCAGATAAGACGAAATGACGACATGTCGACAAGACAGGCAGGTAAGACGTTGATTCAGGACACTCCAGGACACTCACCAGACTTGTAACATCTTGTCTCGCTGGAAATGCATTGCCTCGGACCCCGAGCTTCCCGTTCGGGAGCCCAGGGCCGATCGGACGGATCCTGGATCACCCAGGAGTCGTACGTGCCTACCCAAGCTTCTGGAGTGGGGGAGTGGGGACACCCCACGATCAACAAGAACAGGTCAGGTGGACAAGGGTTAACCCATCATGTTTTTATATGTCTTTCAGGGAAAGAGTCAGACCACAGATAGAACCACTACGGAATCACCTTGTGGCACGAACGGGCTTTGAAAATGGTCACACGACCCTTCCCTTTGATCTAAGCCTCCATGTCTCGGGGACCGACCTCCGCATTCCGACCGAAGGTGAAGAGGAGACCAAACCCAGCTGGGGCGATTGGGGAGTCTCCCTATGTGAAAAAAACCATCATCAAACCCAGCAGCACCCAGTTCAGATAATTGGATGGACAATTCTTTTTCAGGGGGGCTCTATAAACCACCCAAACTGGGGTTATATTCAGTCCGAATGCGGAACCAGGCCTTTCGATGTTCAGGATCCGCCGAGAACACTGAGGCGGAGATGCGATGGAGACGCGGCCTGAGGCTCGCAAAGGGCGTGGGCGAGCAGAAAAGAGGAGATCCAAGCGCGCAGAAAGGACCAGAACTCATTGACCAGGGGTCACAAGACGGGGTGGTGTGGCTCATCCAGCCAGGGGCTGTGGATGTGACAGGGGCACCCCGGACTACCTCCGTTCGGAACCGGCACCCCGTCGTGTGACTCCTGGGAAACTCACCTTAGAAATCGAATGTACATGAATGTACTATACCGGTATATATCAGTCTCAACTATCAGGTGGACAGTGGATGTGTTAATCTGTCACGCTCTTTTTTGCATTACCCAGTGGATCCAGTTGCCACGAGTTCGCTGGTCAACTAGACGTCCCAAAGCTCAAAACTGTCGACCGAAGAGAACAAACATGCGGGTTCCTTACTATACTCGTGGCTGCCACTCCACTGGGATCCCAAAAGAGATATGAAATGCGTCGCTTCTTCAGTGACCAAACCACCTGGACCCCCCGAACTCGCCGGGCTCGACCGAAGCTCCGGTGCGGGTGCGGGGCGGTCGGCCTGTGACGCTTCTCGTCAGGAACGGAGCTGAATTGGAAGTGCCCCATTTGGCCTCAAGGCACACCAGTCCCACGGTGGGACTGGTGTGGGTGCCAGGAAGGTCTAAATAGGTCTAAATACTGCCCCGTTTGGCCAGTCGTACCGAACCTGAGGTGAAGGTGGGACTGGGGTGGGTGCCAGGAGGGTCTAGTCATACCGAACCTGAGGAGGTACGACTGCAGGTGTAGGGTGCGTTTTTCTCAGACTGTAGACTGTAGATACACATCGTCGTCCCAGCCTTATAACACATCGCCTAAGGCGGGGGGATGGCCCATATGTAACCCAAACGCTCCATTTGCCTACATTGGGGTGGTTTGGGGGGTCAATGTAGGCATCTATGGCATACATGGAGTGTATGGAATATACACACATCGCCCCAGCCTTTGATAACACATCGCCTGAGGAGGGGGGTATGGTCCATATGTAATAGCATGTAATAGCTATTATAGCGGATGCCTCACTCGTCATGAGGTGTTCAACCAGTTTGGGCTCTGGAACCTGGAGCCTGACAGAGATCCTCGTTGAGATCGAGAAACTCTCCCAGCGAAACACGAGGGAGACTCTCACTCCTTCAACCTGTTGACCTGTTGACCTGTGAGTAAGTATACATGGGGAAGAAGTCCGGATGACCCGCCGGTTTCGGGTCATCCGTCATCCGCTTTCGCCGGAAAAACGAGTTGGTGAGGCCTTTTCGGTTAAGGCGGGACTGCTGCAACTGCGACTGCTGCAGGTGAAATGAGCACGGAGCCGCGGCAATTTGGCGTCCGCGGCCTCAGACGCGGACGCCAATGCGGGGTCAACAGACCTGGATCTTCCAATTCGGCATGTTTCAGTGAAAAACATCCGTGAAACAACTACAATTCAAACCGTTTCAAGTGTCAAACATATATGCTGCTGGAATCCAGGTATTGGATATGATATAGTCGACATGGAATTGATGTCAAACGTTGCAGCACAAATTAGTTTGGTGAACAGACCAGGCTTGCAGGTGTGATCCAGACCCACCTGCTGATGCATCATCGGCCAATTCCCCGCTGGCCCTTCCGGATTTTATAAAACAACCAAAAGCACAAAAACCATCAGCGCCTTTGATCGCTTCCTCCAGAGAGTCAGCCTTCCTTGGACTCCCTTGGACGTCCCTCCCGACACCTGCCGACCGGCCGACTCATCCCTCAGGAGGACCATGCGCAGGGCGAACACGTGCTGCTCCGCTCCTATACCCCTGCAGAAGGGCCCAGCCGCGTTTGACATGTGCGGAGATGGTCGGAGCATGGGTTACGAACTGGAGTGTCAAGGTAGTCTCAGATCAGGGGTGATTTGATCCTTCGTTGGTCGGGGTGCCTGGCAAACCTGGTAGACTTCGTTTGTCAGGTACTTCGTTTCTTGGAGAAGACCGGTGGGCGACTGAACACAAGTCGAAAGACATGAAATCAGGTGAAATCCATGGCCCATCATGTTCCTAAATACCCAGACCATCCATGGGACTGGAATATATGCCACCCCAGAAAGACCTCTCCAACCACCCCAATGGATATAGTTGGAGACGAGCCCAGTCCCTGGAGATGGAGCCCTTTTGGGCCAAGACACTGCGGTTGAATTCAACAGAATGCTACAGAGTTTACTGGGAGTCGACCCGGAACTCGTACCCTCAGACAATTGTGAAAAAAGGCATGAAACGCCTGATGTTGTTCGGGTCAGGGCGGTCAGGTGCTTTTTTTCGTTCAGGTACTTGGAAGATCTTGGAGGTATATTTTTGGCGTGAGTGCCTAACAAAAAGGGGATCCAAGTTGAAGTGCCCAAGTTGAGCTATTGTTCAGACTATCCCGGACTATCCCAGAGATGTGCGTACCCCCAGGTGTTCCGAGTCCTTTCCAAGTCAGGTCAACAAAAAAAGAAACTCTTGGGGGCCTTGTAGTCGTGTCTCGGTGCTTGGTAAACCTCCAGGCTCTACATCGGAGCCCACCGCCCCGATATTTTCGACCAAACCGAGGCCGTCCTGGCAGTCAGGGGCGAGGACGGAGGGGTGGTCGATGATAGATTTTTGCCGTCGAGCGAGGGGTCGAGCGACGGGGATATCTGGAGATCGATGTTTCTCCATGATTTTCCTGGAATGCCCAGACACTCCATGGGACTGCCATATATGCCTACACTGGGGTGCTTTTGGGGTTCAATGTAGGCATATATGGCATACATGGAGTGTATGGGATGGAATCCTAGGAAACCTATTCGGTGGAGTCCAGCTTCCAGGAGTCCATCGTTTTTATGATAGGCATGATTCCAGATCAACGGAGTGTGCATATGGCCAGGGTTACTTCCCAATGGAAGATGCAGATACATGAACTTTGGGTTGAAGATGCTATAGCTTCACATATCTTCACATCAATTTCCGCTGCAGTCTTGGATTGGGGGAGAGAGTCATGATGCTTGCGTTGGAGAAATTCTGCTGCAGCGCCCAGCAGCGGACACCGCAAATCCTACTGGCAATCTGTGAATCCCAGGCAAATCGCTCGTGAATTCTCTTGTGGCGATATATGAATTCTCAGTGCAAGAAGCTTCGCATGTGGTGTGAGATGGATTATTTTTACACCCCTTAGGATCACGCGGCTCTCGTTTTGCCACGCGACTGTCATTGGTCGCTTCGGGCGTTCTCAGATCGACACGACCCATCGGCACGACCTGTCTCACACTGGAATCTATGACTCGACTGGGTATACTTGGCACCGGGGTCCATCTGGAGTCGACCTGTGAACTACCTTGAACATTGGGTATATGCATGGTGTTATATAAGTCCCAATTGGACCCATCATGTCACATCCCATTTTTCGCAGCATGTCGGGTCCAGGTCGATTCAACTGTTTCAGACCGGGCGCATTTGAGAAACATGATCTAAAACATCCTCCCCTTCTGTTTCATTTACCAACACATGATCTAAATCATGTGAGGGCCGTCCGTTA